GAGGATGCTGTGATGCCTGTAAAGTAAAATTGCTTGATGTCATTTACCCAGACTTTTGGGAAACATTTGTTTGCAACTAGAAATAGTTTCTGGGAACCAAATGGATCAAAATTTTCAGCGGGACTTCACTGGCATGGCTGAAATGCATTTAAAAGTTGAAGGACACCAAACCAATAATTTTTATTCCTATAATAATAAAACCATTCAACTGCTCAGAGTATGATGACATCTGAAGATTGTGTTTTTGCTATTCTCCTTGCTGAAAGATGTTAAGGCAAGGGAAATTTTAAGATGAAAAACAGGTGAGAAACAGAAAAATTTCACAGCTTGTGACTGACAGACAAGAGCTTTTAGGAACATACTACTTGTTAACTTAGTAGTTTCTTTATGCAGATTTCATTAATACAAATTATTTCTTGTCCTTACAGAAACAAAAACTAATTAGCTTTTTTTACATAGCCAGTGTGCAAGTCCTCTGTAAGTGCAGGTTAGAATTAAGGTGAAACAATTACTTGTAAAATGATCAGTCTAACTGATGTCACAAATTATTACTAATGGTAAATTAGCTGCTAATGCTTTATATAAAGGTGTTTTGAAATTTCTATTAAGTAATTTTCTGTTAAGTACTATGTATATGTATAGTAGTTTTTTAATATATTAACTGCTGGAGGGATTGTGAAAATAATAATGAATCATGAAATTTGTAATGCATCAATACAGTATCAGACTGTGATTAAGTACAACATTTGCCTATTTGTTCATTTTTACCTGGACAGGAGTCTTCACCACCTTCACCATCATTAAATATGAACCAGTCTATGGCCTTTTTATTTAGAATATATGGCATTGTCTCCTAAGTCTGTAGACTACAGTGACTGTTGCAAAATGGAAAATGGGGTAAATAAAGGTGTTGGTTTGGCTTGATTTGGTTTAGTTTGGTTTGGTTTGTGGGCTTTTTTCTTTCTTGGCTGGATTTTCGGGGTTTTTTTGTGGTTGCTTTTAATTCTGTTTATTTGGATTTTTACTGCGTGAGAAATTTCTGAGTGTGTAATTTGACATGGGAAGAATCAGTACAGAATTTTTTAACCGGAGTGAGTCCATTTGCATACTCCCTGAAACTTTTTGCTGCTAGACCAGTAAGACTATGCTAAGTGAAAATGGCATGTGTGATTGTATGTGTGCCAGACCACATTGTTTACTCTGCTGTCAACCTACATTTCTGAGTCTGAGGTGAAAACATTTCATGGGAACAGTTGTGATTGTCATCTTCCAACTTTTATTGGTACAAAATGAATCTTTATAACTGAAAAAGTTACTGTAACTTTTAAAGAACCTCCTCAAATATGTGTGAATGCATTAGCAAATGAGGTATTTGAAAGAAGTGTCTTTGCATTTTTAGTTTTTTCTGATGTCTTTATTTACCCTTGCTATATATGCTTACAAAGGCTACAATGTTATGTGCTTTTTGGCAATTTTTGTTCTGACGTAGTAAAATTTTTGATATTTCAGGCATATGATGAAGTTTAGTCCTAAATTGAATTATTTTATACTAGGAACTTTCATACACCCCAAACAGAGAATCTGGAAACAAATGTATGAGGATCTGCATCCTCTGTGTATCTTTTCCATAGTAAGTTCACATGCTGAGCTAGCTGTAGCTGGACTGCAGGCATTCTTTTAGCTTTCACTTTAAAGAAGGGGAAGTCTTATCCTCATAGTCACCTTTTCATAGAGAAGTATATTCATAAAAATGTCTCTACACAAGAATAGTTTGCAGTAGCTGTGGAAAAAAGGGGCTGAACTTCAGAAGTATTTTGTCAGACATTTTATTTGAGTGCAGACGAACAATATTACATATCCTTAAAGCACAGCACAAAGAACAATACAGCAACTTTAAAATGGATTATTCTATAACATGATGAAATGTGAATTAATTAATTCATTTCAGTATTTCAGAATTCTACTTAAACTTTAGAAAGTCAATGTAGAGGCACAGAAGGGAAGAAAGAAATGTCTTATATTCATGCCAAGATATTCAAATGTTCCAATCAAAATGAGTTATTTTAGTGTCACTTTAAAAATATATTTTATAGAGCCATAATGTGCAAAAAAACTCCATTTCTATCTGGATAATGGTAAACCATCTCTGATTTCAGAAGTTCTTGTGGCCCTTGAGGGGACAGCTTTACTGTTCATTGAAGCAGCAGCCTTGTTTCTGTGGGGTTAAACTCTGTAAACAGATAAATGCGAGCTCAGTGTCCTTAATGTGAGCTAGCAATAAATTCAATTTTCCGTTGTATATTAAGAGTGTAATTTGCAGTAGTTTTGTAGTTGTCACTTCGGCTTCTCAGGAGCCCCAGCAAGAAGTGCGTACCAAGTAGGAGATGGTGGGAGCCCTCAGCTCTCAAATGCCAAAGCTTGTGGTACTCTTCAGAAGTCCAAGTTACGGGTATCTCCCACTCTGATTTTTTTTTTTTTTCTTTTTAGCTTGAAAAGGTATCAAAATTCAGTATTAGTATCAATATCTGAGTAGGTACAGGTATATAAGCAAGCAAAACTTGGCTTGTTCTTGCATTTAAAAGGTAATATTGCAGCAATTTTATGATTCCCTTAAGAAAATTTAAGTACAGAAATATGAGATGCTGATTTTAAGTGAATTTCACTTATTTTATTTTAATTACAGTGTGTTATTTTAACTGCATTTATTGATGTTACCAAGGAGAGTTCCAAGAGTTCCAAAAGCTGAAAGACTCTGGTATCATAGCTGGTAACATATTACATCTTATTTTTTTGGCAGATTTAATTGCAGTGGAAGGTTTCCATATAGATTGTTGCTGTGCTTAATGAACTGTGTTGTGGAGAGTTTTTCTTGAACTATGCCCTGCTGTTGTTAAGGGAGATCGAAAATAGTTGTCAGTTCTCAATCAAAATTGCCCTCATGTTAATAAGCACAACTGTGTGTGCAGTTTAATTGTGTTTGCTGTCAGAGTGCCTAGCAGCTTAGGTCACAATCAATGTCAAGAAACTGACAACATTAATTGTAGAGATAATTTGTGTCAAACCTTAATTAACAACTTTTATAAAGATAAAGGCAACAAATACCACTTTTCATTTTGGCTTCTGCTGGGTTATGATTTCACATACCCTTAGACTGATAGTAGTTGCATTATATGTAACAAGATGAACATTTTGATAGAGTGATAAAAAGAGGGATTGCATAGTACTTACCTCTCCCTGTGGCAGATAATTATATAAATTATTTTATGTTCTAAGAATAATTTATCTTCTCTTATATCGTATGATACTTGAAAAATAACTGACTTACTTCCAATATTATGTATTGGAGGAGAATTTTGGCAATGTGTTTTTATAGAAATGTCTTACTTATGTAAAAAGAAGTTTGACCAGGCAGATACATACCTTATTTTTTTCGACTAGGTTATGGTCTAAGTGAAAAACAAAGATCAACCCAATTCCATTCTATTCTGGCCTGTGAAGCTTTTTTGTTGATGTAGATAGTATTAGTCACATCATACAAGAAAGTGGATTTTATATACAGCCTTAAAACCTTGTTTTCCTTGAAAAGAGCCCACAAGTTGAAAATTGCGTCATTATGTACAACTGCCCTTGTTTCCTGTATCTAATGCTATCTATGCCTCTAATGCTAGGTGGTTAATAAACAAAAGCTTTACTAATTGCTGGTTAGCAGAAATTCATGCAGGATGGCAAAAATAGTGTTGTTCAGGTAGCTAGAGCTATTAAGTATTCTGTCATATTTCTGCAACTCCATGATGTAGGTGATAATGCTGTGCAGAAGCCAGTATGCAGTTTCTGTAAGGAGTCATAACAGCTATAGTCCTGTAGTCCTTCACCAGATTTTGGACAGTTCTATATAAGAAATTGCTGGAAGACTGGTTGTACACCTTAGAGCAGTTAAGTTGGGTGAAAGATTTTTAATTTAATTTATTGCTATGTGTGCTATTTGCTGCCTATGAGGTACTATACAGAGTTACTGTGTGCTCTTGGACTTTGTCATGAAGTGTTTCTCCTTCAGTGTGTTGAGTTCTAACAGTGAATTCACAAAATGTAAAAAAAAAATTAAAGACGAATAGCAACATGTCATTTTTCACTTGGTGGCCCACGATTACAACTTGTGCCACAGAATGTCAGTATATGGATTCAGTTGAGTCTCTTTACATATCACAGTGCTGAGTTAAAACAAAAAGGGTTCAGAGAGAGCAGTTTTGTTGAAACCCAGATGTTCTTCATCAGCATATATTTTTGCCTTTTTTGTGGTCCAGGCATAAGGCCTGTGGCTTGGGAAATGATCTCAAGTATTTTCACTTAAAGTGTGCTTTATTTGCTAAGGTTTTGGCAATTTTTGACATCAGAGAAGTTCTTTCATAATTTCCCTATGGCAGTAGTAGTACACTGTTTTGCTGGAATGTGCTCTTGCATTTTGGTTTTGGTACATTTTTGCCAGGAAAATTAGCAAAGCATAAATCTCTCTTCTGGTACAGTCCTTTTTGCCTGGACTCTTAATACATAATAATTTACCTCTACCATGCAAAATTACAAATGCTTTCTCTTAAATGTCCCTGATTTTAATGTCTCAAAGGTGAGCTTCCTGTTTTCATGACACCCTGTGTTCACAGCATCAAGTAGCTAATCGTGATATTATTCCAGTTGATTGATGAGCTCATTTTGCAACAGAAGTCAAATTGGATTTTTTATTTATAATGGTGATAAAATATAATGTGTGATCTCACTATTCCAATGCCATCAAATTTCTGTTTTAATACAAATTTCACTAGGAAAATCTGTAAGTACTTTATTGACCTTTTAGGTTTTTTAAGGTAGTGCTTTCTCATGCAGGTGAATGCTATCACTGGGGAAACAAAGCATTTCCTTTTTTTAAATTTTGAAGACTGGATACGACTTTTTTAAAATTTATGTTTACTGCTTGTATTAATACAGTTAATTTTTTTTTGTTGTTTCAGCACCACCAAAGTTTACAAGAACTCCCGTTGACCAGACAGGAGTTTCAGGAGGAGTTGCCTCATTCATCTGTCAAGCCACAGGAGATCCAAGACCTAAAATTGTCTGGAACAAAAAAGGAAAGAAAGTCAGCAATCAGAGATTTGAGGTATTAGGTCCATTGTTCTGTTCCTCTGAAAAACATTTTAATTCCAACTTGGTTTTTAATCCCACTTTTTGTGCTTTATTAACGGTGATTTAGCAGAATAGAAATGACTATCAGGGATAATTTGGTGGGAATACTCTAATGAAGTTTTTAATTTTGAACACTGGTGGTGCGTAGAGCCATTAAGGAGCAAACTGCTGCTGCTGTTTTCTAAGCTAGCGTGGTTGGACTGAGGAGCTCTGTGGTGCCTCTGTTCAGTTTGCTGGTTCATGGAGAGCTCTTGAAGAACTTGAGTTAAGCAGCGACTGCTGTCTCCAAAGGGCAAACCCTCTCCTTTTCTGACCAGGTGCATCAAGCAGGCTTAGTCTGTGGCTGCTTCTGCTGCCACAATTCCTTACCCCTTCTGATGAAAGAAATGAAAGGGGCACTGTAGTTCCTGCTGCTGAAGAGGAAAAATAAAACTTGCTTGCTTTTGATTTTTTTCTTAACAATAAATTAAGAAAAGGCTTGGAGGAAGATTTTTCTCTCCAAAATCTTCAGTTAAAGGAAACAGTGAAAATAATCTGCTCAAAGGATTCTGATTTTTTGAGGGAAATAAGAAAATAAGTATTATTCCCTCTTGTAGTGGCAATAATAATTAATGTCAATATGGATTCACCTTTATCATGAAGTAAAAACTCAAAAAATGGGGGAAAGCTTTTAGAAGAGATATCAAAACTGGCACTAAGAGTGTGCAATTGTCTCTTAATTGTTTTCAGTGTTAGAAATGAGACTTCTGTTTGCTTGTAAACAACTGTTCAAAGATTAAAGATTTGTATATAAAATGTTTGGGATATGCATTTTATGAGAAAATTATGTAACATATACTTATTAACAACCGACTGAATATTAAAGTCTTCTATATTAATTTTTATTAGCATTTGTGAAGATTGTTTTTCCTGGGTTTCAGGTTAAATTCTTTTAGAAGAACTGAATTTTGTCTGTAAACCAAATTTATTTTCTTGATTTTTGGTTCAATAAATATCTAAAGACATTGGAATTTCGTTCATTAACCATTATAATTTTTGGCTTGTGTATTTACTACAACATGAAAAACAAAATCATTAATTTAAATGTTACCTCCTAGTGCCAAAATTGCTCCCACTTTGCAGAGCATATGCAGAGCTGTAATTGGCTAGAGGGATTAACATAGAAGGTTTATAATTAATTTTACACAATTTATCCTCTTTGTTCACAGAACTTTCACTCAAAGTGAATTCTAAACAGAGAATGATGGTGCATGTATATGTTTACTGTGTGTTATTCTGCATTATGTCATAGTATATCTCCTTAATATATTGCTTTCTTGGGATCTCTGTACCTGTTTTTAGGGAGAATAGGCAAACATAAAGTAGTTTTATTTCCATAAAAATTATTTGCATGTAACTATAAAAAAATCTTAAAATGTTTTAAAAAATGCCTCTAGTGGACGGTTGAACAAACAGTATAGCCAAGTAAGATGGAGTGTATTTTGAACAAATAGTTGACATTTGCCAAGCGTTTTGTAATTTTTATCATGTCCGCTGAGCAGAGCAGTTACAAAGTGTGCATACCAAATCATTATTTTAAACAGCTTTTCTTTCTGTTTGAAGTAAGGCTGTTAATTCATGCCATAGAATCTGTAAATAAGAAAAGAACAACAGTAGAAATGAGACTCAAAAAATACATATAAAACATTTGGGAAACAAGGAATGTCCTGAGATTTTCAGCTGGACCAGTAAGAGAATATTTAGTTTGGTTTCTTTCATGTTAATATTTTGTATATTTCTCTCAGTTACTTAATGATGACACACATCAAAATGTTTTACCTGAACACCTGTCTTCATAAAGTAAATACAGCTGGAAGCTATTCTAGTGGTCCATCTTATGCACATGCTTTCCCAAGCATGCTGGAGGTTACTTTGTTATAATTCAATAAATTTGGACAGTCTCCTACAGGGTTTATGAAACTTGTCATGATTACCTGTGCCCCACGTGAAACCAGAACTCTTGATGTATGTAGCAGTTGCGGAACAAATAGTTTATTTCCTCTCTCGACTGTTTATATATTTGAAGACTACTGTCTTTGAAATTTCTTGCTCACCAGCTAATTCTCCCAACTTATTGACAATAGCAGTGAAAGCTAGGCATTGCTTCTGAAATTAAAATACACAATAAGACCTCGAGGGCCTTCTTTATTAATCTTTCTGCTTTTATTTATATTACAGATATAGACTCTGAATGGGGATCCTTTTTTTTTCCTCTTCCTGCAAATTAATTCAAATAATAGGAATTATAGAAATCTGATTTAATTTGCTGAGAAGCCCTTTTCAGAGGAACTTAAGAAAAAACAGAAAAGGGAAAAATAAAAGTTGAAAATTGCATCACTCCACCTTGTTGTGGAGTGATGCAATTGTGCAAAAATGCTTTTATTAAAAAATATCTGTCATAAAAAAATAAAATCTCATCCAGTAGATGGGGAAGAGTTAGGAATTAACTAACTGTGTTATGCAGGAAAGGGGAGGACTCATTGCATGAAAAAATAAATCCCTTTTATGATAGATATTTTTGAGACGCCAGACTTGAAACTTAATCTCTGCAGTATTTACCGAATCCAATCTCCTGCCATTGTTTTCAGTGTCTGTCCAGATACATTTATTCAGCATTCAGGTTTAAACAATAGCAATTACTCTATTTTAAGTATGTCTGTGACTATTCAGATCCTATGCTTGTATTTTGTATCTATAAATTGATAGTCTGACTGCTTAAAGACTTTGAAATTATTTTTCCCTTATAAATGTCAATTTTTTGAGAATTCTAGTTATTCCTTTAATTGTGCTAACATCAGGTGGATATTTTTTGTTATCTAGATTAGTTTAAGATGGCTTTACTGGAAGAACAAGAAAAATACATCCTGTGGGCTATTAAAAAATTCAGTTTCAAAAAACCCCCAGGGTTCTTATCTTACTTGCGACTCTCCCAATGCTAAGTAGAAACTGAGCGATTCCAACAATGAAAATAGCGATATGCAGGGCATATTTACCATCATTTCTGATCCCAGACTTTATAGCTCTCTTTTATCAACATGTACAGGGATCTTGTAGGTTGTTTGTGTGAAAATGAGACAGAAGGACACAAAGAGATGTGCAAATAGACATATCTGTAAATCACTTTGTGCCTGTATATATAGATTATTTTGTAGAGAAAAACAAGACAAAAAAATCTGACTGTCCTTTGTTTATACATACAATTTATCTGATGGTAGTACTGATATTTCTCAGCAATTTTTTAAATTTATTTTTAAAAAAGTAGATTAAAGAGATTACTTCTATTACTTAACTATTAAGAAGGTTTTTCCAGGACCAACAGAGTGTTGTAGTACTCACCAATATTTGATGTGATTCTGACTTCAGATCAAGAAGGAAATAAGATCTGCTCAGTGAATTTTCTCATATAAATGTTATTACTTACTGTATTAATATTGCAATGTTAAAATGACATATTAGAACTTTTGCTGTATTATTTAGCCTCCTAAATGATCACTTTGTTAGATAACTTTACTTATTTTGTGGGTTAAATACAAAGCTGAACTGAGTCATCCTGTTTGGTTCAGAAACTGCAGACAGTTATTAACTTTGGCGCCAAATCAGTGAGTGAGCTGCACTCTCTGAGTAGAGAGGGAATATAGCTGGCAGCAATTAAAATGAATGTAACTGTCACTTGAAGGTAAAGTACTTTAGCTGAGAGAATTGAGAAGCATTGGTAGTGAACTTCAGAATAAGAGAGCATTAAGTCACAGGCTTTTTTCTTAGAGCCGTTGTTTGCTGGCTTGGGATTTTTGGTTTTATTTCTTTTTTTTTTTTTTTTTTTTTTTTTTTTTTTTTTTTTTTTTTTTTTTTTTTTTTTTTTTTTTTTGTTTGTTCATTTGGTTTTTGTCCTGTATTTCTTGAAGCTATATTAAAATGGCCACTGAGTACTCACTGAAAATCAGTGTATGTTCCACTTAAACATTTTCCCAAATGACTGGAATTTGTCCTGCAACATAAATTTGAGAAACAAGCCTGTCTTTGGTCACTTGATTACCAACAGACCAACATGTTCTGTTCGTGAACAGATTAGCTGAGGGATAGGTATTTGTAACAACATCTGTGACAGCTTTTGTTTCCTTTTATAGGTAATAGAGTTTGATGATGGATCTGGATCAGTTCTCAGAATACAGCCACTGCGCACACCCCGAGATGAAGCTATTTATGAGTGTGTGGCTTCCAACAGTGTTGGCGAAATAAGTGTGTCCACGAGACTCACTGTTTTACGCGGTAAGTGCTTTCTAAACATGACCCATTCACTTCATAGAGCTTGAAGAGCTGCGTTGTTGTAAAGCAGAGGGTCCTCTCTGGCAGAGGTAAATACAGTTCTTTACAGGTGGACTTCGCTGTAGTCCCAATGCTGTTCATTATAAACTTTAAAAAAAAATACTCAACTGCTGTGTTTGTGACTTTTGACCATAAAATGGTAATGTAAGAATGTATGGTGTGACAGAATAGACTGAGGAAAAGAAGAAATAAGTGAAATAGGAGTGCCACACACAACAGGTTATCAATTACTACTCAAGCCATTCACTTTATGAATGCACTTGATTCACATTTTAATGCTGCCCTGTGTACCTTAGCTTTGTTCAATCAGCATTTACACAGAAATTTGCTCTATTAACAGTGACCTTGAAAAGTTGCTTGAGCAGATTTTAGATGAGGTTAAGCTGCTGCAGAATTTCTCCCACAAGAAGCAATCATAAAAAAGGTGAAGGCTTCTTCCACTTCAGATATATGTCACCTGAACTGTATTACTTCAATAAGAAGTTTTTGAAAACAGTATTCAATTTTTTCAACTCCATCAGGGGTGAGGATATTAATGTACTGCCAAGCCTGCTGTCTAGATAATACTCAAGGCAGAAAATACTAGTGGTCAAATGACCTGAACATTTGTTTTGTCATCTGGAAATGAATAGACACTAGATTTGGCGACTCTCCATGAAATAGCGCACTCGTCAGTTTGCAGGCTGGCTTTATGACTGAAAATTACTGTCTTGTATTTTGATACTACATGGCATTACAAGGTTTGCAAAATTACTAGGTGCCTGTTTACAGGAATTGAAGGTGATTATACAGCTTTGCAGAATTTGGGGGAAAATTTGTGAAATGTGTAATTACAATATGTTTTTTCCTTGAGCCTCTATCCCAAGCACTGTAGGGTGACAGGAAGATTTCTTTTTTCGTGTTATTCCCCAAAGTTCAATTTTTACTAGAAAAAAAAAAGTTTCTATAATTTTATTAGCCATTTTAATCGTTGCAGATAGTTCTGACATTAATGTTGGAGACAGCTAGCAACACTATCTGCGTATATATCAAAAATTAACCCTAAGGACATACTTTTTTTTCCCTAGGTGAAGTCTGGTGTAAGGAAACCTTTTCAGTATTTAAAATCCTTAACCTCTAATGCCATGTTTGTTCCTTATATTATCTTTTAAAAATTATTCCCAGTCAAGCCAATGAAAACAGGAATATTGATACATTGATCTTTTAACAGCACCATGGACCTGATCTTAAGTCCCTAGACATAATAAATCAGTTAATAAAACTGATAGGAGGACTTCTTATGTACAATTTCCACATTGTTGAAAATAAACATAAAATGACATTTCACATTCCATTAGAAATTTTGCAAACTAAAGGAAGATTGGGAGGAGGAGCAAGGAAAAACAAAAAAACTGTATGAAAACTCAGGTGGAAATAATATTCTTTGTCTTCATAATTCCTTGTAGTGTATTTACAAGCCTACTGGTTGTGAAATGTGCATGCATGTGTTTTGAAAAAGAGTGCTCTAAACCAAAGTTCTTATTTGGCTTTTGTAGAGAAGCAACAGCCCTCATATCTGTTATCTCTCTACCAAGAATCACAGCAAACGTGAAAGATAGAGGGAGCATCTGAGTGTCAAAACTGACTTGATTGTACAATGTAGTATGTTTCTTTACAAGTCCTATTGATTATTAATCATTTTTTTGGTAACACGTGTAGCTTTGCTGCCTTATTTTTTGCTTGGTAGTAAGAGCAATAATAGTGGCTCAGTGCCTAATTCTGACAATATTAGTATTGCATCCTCGTTTAAAAGCAATACATAATGATACGCATATGCAAATGACTAATGAAAAAATCTTATTGGTTTGAAGTTAAAATAAATTTCAATTTTAATTAGTTTTTTTAATTAAGACCACTGAAATGTAAAGATTGAGAATTTTATCCACTATCAGAATACATATGGTTTTTGCAACTGCGGAAATATATTTGCCCCAGGAGTAGATTTATGGATTTAATCTGAAACTGGGAACATACGAGAACTCATGAACATACTGTGACTGTGGATTTAGATAAAGGGGTAATGTCATAGAAAGCAAGGAGCCTGCAGAGAAAAAGGGAATTATTAAGAAGTTTTGATAGGGTTAAAATTTGAATTGCTGAAAATACAATGGTTTGCTGTATTGCTTCCCAAGACACAGCATAATTCAGTGCTAAGGGCATTAGCCTGGAAGATAATTCTATTATTGCAAAGCCTCTACTTTGCAAACTTATACAAATCTTAACCTTGTACAGTCTGCAACAGTAGAAAGCTGTTGTTTTGGAAAAACACTCCATTGATGATGCCTTTTTGGGAAGGAGTGCCTCTGCCTCACATGGCTGCTGTAGGAATAAATATATACTATAGATGTCAACAAGAATTAACTAGATTTAATGAAATACAGGACAGAGTAGAGTGAGTTGGAGCTGTGGTTGCTTATGCTTTACTCATCCCTGTGGTATGTATGCGACTCTGGAGTACATAGATTATATAGCCTGTATAACTTTCATATGTTCTTTTAATTGTTCTGCAATGGTTCTGTCACAGACCCAGCTTGTCATCTGTGCCTCTTGCGAGATGTCACCCAGAGGTGGAAGTCAGATTTTACTCACAATTCAGCCCACAAGTATTTCAACCCTAATTTGGAATGTCAGTGAAATCAGGGTAATTCCAGGAGCAGAAGTGTCTACCTACATCCATTTTGTTTGATTGTTTCTTTCACAAATCCCAGCTTGAATACTGCAAATAATTAACGCAGCACGGAACAGCAAAATTTTTTCTGATATGTCTGTGTCTTTACAGCTAAACTTGCCAGTTTTTCTCTGTGGCCATGTAGAGTAACTTGTTCCATGCATTACAGATGCTACCATGTTTTGTTAGGTTCCTATACTAAGACCAATTCTTATTATTTGAGTCTCAAAGAACTACGAACATAAATAAATTTTTAGCTTCTAAATCTTAGAAATTTACGGTGTGAGAAGGAAGAAGGGCAGAAAAGGCATCTACGGATGAGAACATTTCATTCAGTGCCTTACCAGAGACAAAATATTGGATCCTTTTTTCTGTTACTAGAGTAAATCAGGAAACATTCCAGGCTAAACTTGCACTTGTTAGGCTGAATATTGTGAGAGTTTGGACCAAGTATGAATGTCTGAGATAACTGGAAACTGCTTTTGATTTTCTGCATATAAAGAAGTTGGCTGCTTTCCATGACAGATTCACCCATATGAAAACATTGAATTTGAAGGGAAACATGGCTTGAAAAGAGAAGTCTGAAAGTTGACTGTTGGAGACAGGCTGACAAGAGGAGTCAATACAATTTATTTTGGATGTTTCTGTTTTGAATGTTTGCGCTGAGAACCATAAGAATGGAACAGTGCTTTGATTCTTTTATTTATTGGTGCTTAATACACATGCCTTTCTACTCAAGAATGTCAGTGTCCTGGGGGGCATTAGAAGGAGCATTGCCAGCAGCTTGAGGGAGGTGATCCTCCCCCTCTACTCAGCCCTAGTGAGGCCACATTGGGAGTTCTGTGTCCCCTTCTGGACTCCTCAGTAAAAGAGAGATGTGGAGCTCCTGGAGCAAGTCCAGCAAAGGTCTGCAAAGATGATGAGGGGACTTGAGCATCTCTTTTGTGAGGAAAAACTTCGGGAAATGGTCGTGTTTAACCTGGAGAAGAGACAGCTGAGAGGAGGTCTTATTAATGTCTATAAGGAAGTGAAAGGAAAGTGCAAAGAAGATTGACCAGGCTCTTCTCAGTTATGCCAAGCAAAAGGACAAGAGGCAACAGGAAGAAAAACTGATGGACAGGAAGGTCCATCTGAATATTAGGAAGAGCTGCTTTAGTGTGGAGGTAATTGTGCACTGCAGCAGATGGCCCAGAGAGGCTGTGGGCTCTCCCTCACTGGGGATATTCAGGGTCTGTCTGGATGCAATCCCGTGCAATGTGCTCTCAGCTGGCCGTGTTTGAGCGGGGAGGTTAGACCAGATGATCCTGCTGCTGCGCCTTTGAACCCTACCTGCTCTGTGATCCATGTGTAAGCAATAAAAAGCAACAAGGTTGCTTTCTAAAAAGCAGCGGTGGGATATTCCTATACTTCCCAGACATCAGAGATGTCATAACTTTCCTTTTGCTGTCCATTCATTTCACATTAACGCCACCTAAATCTGTTTTTAGGTCTTGCAAATGGTGGATATCAAACATTTTCCCTAGCTGTAGAACAAGAGTTCTGGTGTCATATAGAAGACTATAAATTGTTCAGGAAGAAGGGAATAGGTGCTTTCTTGTAGTAAGGAAGCCAGCAGTAATTCTATTCAGTTAATTTTCAGGAATTCTGGTCTTCATTTTTAAAAAATTTGTATGGTTATTTTCTTTATAAAGTTTTGTCAAGACCATGAGGGCATCGAGAAGCCTTAGCTTCAACTGCTAGGCATATGAGTAAAGCACAGAAGTGTGCAGGTTTTAAGAAAAATGTGGAGCGCATTACATATATTCTAATACTTCTTCTGTTTGCTCTGTTTTTCTTGTTTGGAAAGTAAAGAGAGAGGCTACAACAGGGAATTTATGCAGAAGGCAGTTTGTTTGTCTTGACCCATAATTTTCTCTTACTCTTGTTGATTTTGTTAATACTCTGCATTACAAAAATACTGATAAACAGCATTTGTGTACCGCAGGCAGTATATAAGCCTGAAAGAAGTACAATTTCAGTGGAAAGTGCCTAGGGTGGTTATTCCTTTTTATATTATTAGAAAACTGATTGATTCAATGTCAAACATTCACTGCTGCATAAAGTGAAATTTAGAAAAAAGAGAAATATTTACTGTGTAGTGTTTCCCAGTCCATTGATACCCACAGATATTGAGGCAGTTGTGGGAGATTTTTATGAGGCTCTCAGAAGTGCACAACATTTCTACATTAAGACAGAA